ATTTAACGGCAGCAGTCCAAGTAACACTCTGGTTGAGTCCACTTATATGAAAAAGGGGAGGACCCCATAACAGATCGATAAAAAGAAGCGATATATAAAGAAGAGATTACTGACAGACTGCAATAACGAAAATCATAAGCACATGTAAGAATCATCTGGAAACCCAAGGGACAACTCCCTTGCCATTGGAAGATTTTCCCGGATATAAACACCGAAGCTATGCATATGTCTTGTAGAATCTTTTCGGCTGTTGTAGAGTAGTTTCACAGTGGAGGCTTGTATTTCACTAAGTCGGTCCTAAAATAGGTTCGACGTACAAAACGTTAGGAACTTGATATAAGAGTTAATGACGCAGCAATCTAGTTGCGGAGGCTGATACTTTAATATCCGACTAACGGTCGTCCGACATCGACTGACTGACCAACTCACTGAGCGACTAACTGAGCCACTGGCGACTGCTACTACTCCTACTTATTATAGGTGGGAGAGTCTATTAACTATAAAATAGGTATGTTTCAGTATAACATCGGCAAAGAAGAAGACAGCCTCGAATAGAGAATTCATTGGTAGTGATAGAAGAATTTAAATTATTTTTGCAAAGTGCGACAATATCTGGAGATCGTTTATTTAGAGAAAAGTTTCTACACTACAGATATTGCAACGGATACCCACGAATATTAAATAAAAAATGGTTGAGGGGATAGGTGATGTATTGTTACTGGTTTTCTCGTTTTTCTTTTCATTTTATCTGTCAAAATAATTATCACACTCAGTCGTCGATAGCAATACAAACTGGCAAGAACGTGGCTACAACTAAACGTGGCCCCAGGGTTGCACCCCAGAAATACATGCATGGATTCCAACCCATACGCTACATGGAACTCCGATATTATGCGACTGTTGATCAGACCAGCCTTTCTAAGACCTGCAAAAGAGTCCAGGCGACTTAATACGAGTCGGGTGTAGCAACCAAAAAACTGACAACCAGGTACATTCATACTAAAGAAGCACAGTTAAATCAACATGGCCTTGGAAAAAGGAAGCGGTAAACCATATCATAAACCGGAAGTAAAGAGATAAACCTCTACTCCTGTTCAATAAACATTGAAGGAGAGTAGGACAGGCAATAGGCGAGCCTATCTACTCCTATTAATCTGTTCACAGCACAGGAGACATAGCGATTTTATCGAGATACCATCTCTCGGAAGGTTTCTAAATGAGGCCCTAAACTCTTTCCAGGCCAATTTGGAATTACTGAATTATTGTCACACTGAATGTTGACCTAGCAGTTGAAATAAAGTGAGTATTTACATAAAATTAGATCGTATGATCAAGTTAAATTAAGAATATATGGTTTAAATATACATATATACAAACGCAACACACGCACACATATTTTACAATGGACATCCGAATAAAGAATTACTGATCAACTTCACCACTTTTTCTTAATATTTGCATAATTTCTGTTTATCAGAAGTCAATCAATAAATATGAAAAGAATATATATATATATATATATATATATATATATATATATGTGTGTGTGTGTGTGTGTGTGTGTGTGTGTGTGTGTTCATTGTGGGTAGTCTATTTTGGTGGTTAAGAAATAGAAATAAAAAATAAACAAGCAAAATAATCTAACCCCAATAAATAAATAAGCAAATAAACGACTTCCGGCAAAATAACCGCCAAAATAGACTACCCACAATGCACTACTGACCCGTATATATAAATAGCCGAGAAAAAAAAAGAAAAGTGGCCTGACGATTGTATCTAGCATGAAACAGACTTTTGCCTCTAAGTGTTGACTTCAATGCTCGCTTTTATATTTACACATGCTCTATCTCTGATATTGAGCCCTTTATCCCATAAATATAGCTCACCTTAAGACTATATTTCCTCATATATATATATAAATATATATATATATATATATTAAGTGTTTGATATTCTTTAGTTAATAATAATTTTGCTCTGTTCATTGACATAGAGCTCTCCTTGGATCTATATCCTCCTGGAAATTCCATTCATCACTTTACGAAGGGCTTTATCTATGGAGTTTTTTTTTTTTTTTTTTTGTCATGATGCCATTTCTAACCTTACGTCTTTGGAGGGGACCCGGAAAGAAATGTGTACACGCCAGAAATCAAAGGAAATGAAAAATAATAATAATGAATTTCATCAATAATAAAGGAAGCCAACAAATTCAAAATAGAATTTCAAATAGGTGAAGAAGTGCAGATAAACCATAATAACATCTACTGCAGCGGCAAAGAACCTAAAAAAGAAAACAAAAGCTATGCAATGTACTAAATGCAGAAACGATGGCGAGATAAACCTCTTCGTAGTCAATACTCTACCCGTACCAAACAAGCTGATGTAGACAAACCCCGCACCCATTAATGGTTATGTAGTACTGGGTTAAAAACTGTAACTAAAGGTTTAATTCTTGCTGCACAAGACCAATACTTGCTAAGTAGAAATTACCAAGCACACATACTAAAAATTGTGTTAGTCCAAAATACAGATACAGAATAGACCATATTGTATCAGGTTGTACAGTGTTAGCACCCACTGAATATAAAACTCGGCATGATAGAGTGGGCCAATATCTGCACTGGAAAATCTGCAATTTTTACGGAGAGGAAACTGCAAGTAATTGGTATGAACACCACTCAGATCCGGTTACAGAGATAAGATCTGTAACAATTTTATGGGACTTTAAAATAGACAGACAGAACAGTCAAAGCTATTCGCCCAGACTTCGTCATCAGAGATAACAAAAAGAGAATGTACCTTCTTATTGGCATGGAAGTCCCTACAGATTGTAATGAATCTTTGAAGATCTTCAAAAAACTATTAAAATACAAGGAACTTGAAATGAAAATCTCAAAAATGTGACACATCTGGACATCAATAATTCCAGTTGTAGATGGCGTTGATTTGAAAACGGATCGATAGACTCACTGAAGGGATTCATGGAAGCCAATGCCTTAAAGAAATACCAAAAATCCTACTCACATGTACAGCTTGCACCTTACGAAGGAATTTATCTATGTAAATTTGTGTGATGTTTAGTTTTTTCTTCTTTTCTTTAAAAAAAGAAAAAACTGCTCAGTGAAAAATGTCATGATGACATTTCTGACCTTAGGTCTCTTGTTGGGACCCGGAAAGAAATGACTATACGCTAGAAATCAAAGGAAATAATAATAATAATAATTAAATACTACTCAAGAGAGGAAAAGAACAACAAAATGTACAAAATAAAAACGAACAGCTAGAAGAAGCATTTTTAAATTGGGCCTTCAAAAGTTACGTAAAACACGCTGGTCACACATGAAGATGTATTCAGAGAAGACTTATTTGGTCAAAAGATCTGAAATTATATGATAAAAATATAATTGTAAGGTATGCTATATTTATGTTTAAAAGTGGTCAATATCAGAGATAGAGCATATGTATACATAAAAGTGGACACTGAGGTCAACACCAAACGTTGACAGTCTGTGGTAGGTTCAACGGGATATTCAGATCATCTGTAATTGTGTTTTGACTCGACTTTTTATATATACTGGTCAATGGTGCATTATGAGTAGCAAGGTCTATTGTATTCTAACGGTTATTGGGTGGACAATAACTGTTAGACGGTCTCTTCGAGCGATACTTCTAAAATGACCACTTTAACGCTTTATTAAATAAAATTATCTCGACTGTCGATTAGTTGTCCTACGGCCATTGTCTGCGATGGATGTTACTCCAAGGAAACATACGAAAATTGTAACGCTGCCCGAACACTGTTGCAAGCCTTACCATTGAGCAAATCAAAGTACTATAGATTGACCCGGAAACTCTGCTGATTTAAATCCAATCGAGAATCTATGATCAATCTGCAAGGAACGACTTCGTGGAATGGACATACGAAGTACTAACATGTACACTGGGTCATGTTTCATTGGTAAAATCAGAAAAAAAGTAAATAATAACGTAATTATTCGTTTCAATTAATTTACACAAATGTGCATATGTATATGTGCAGTAATATGAATCTATTTTCAGAGTGTATGATGAAATTTGTTTGGCTTTAAAAAATATTGTCATCGGTGATTACATCAGATTTTTATCACACCCAGATACTATTGTCTCGACTGTCAATTAGTTGTCCTACGGCCATTTTCTGTGATGGACGTTACTCCAAGGAAGCGTACAAAAATTGTAACACTGCATGAACACATCGGTAAGCCTTATAGATTAGCCCAGAAACTATCCTAATTTAAATCCAATCAAGAATGAGTGGTCAATCTTCAAGGAACGACTTCATAGAATGGATATACAAAGTACTAACATGTGCACTGAGCCATGTTTCATTGGAAAATACGAAAAAAGTAAATAATAACGGAATTATTCTTTTTGTTTCAATTAATTTGCACAAGGGTGTATATATGATTTGTGTGTGTGCGTGTTTTTGCGTACATGCCTGCATATGTTACAGAATATTTCTGTGCTTATTTGTGTGTTTCTGTGTCTGTGTGTAACTCTTTCTCTCTGTTTCCATTGGCGTGATTAGGCGTCAATGTATGTGGGGTGGGGATGTATAATAACGTTCACCACCATAGATTTTACAAGTATGTTAATACATTTATCGCATTAAAAATTGGTTAATAATTTGGTGCGATATCTCACGTTGAGCGTTTATTTATATCTCAATTTGTTGGCACTAATCTCTATCGATTACCCTATCAAACTCTCGTTCGATTGATTCGTCCTTATTCTTTCAATTGATTGGTGCAGTAATCTTTCTATTCCAAACTATCGAACAGGAAATATTCACGTCTATCAATTTTTCTTTGTTTACAGCCATGCTTATAAGTACAATTTACAAAAGTATCAATATTTATTGATATTCTATCTTTTGATAGATCAGTCGATGGCACTATTTATCTATCTCAATGTCTACATTATCTAGCTAGCTAGCTAGCTCAATGTCAACATTATCTGAGTTTGTTCTCATCTATCTATCTATCTATCTATCTATCTATCTATCTCAATGTCTACATTATCTATCTATCTATCGATCTATCTATCTATCTATCTATCTATCTATCTGTCTTAATGTCTGCATTATCTAGCTAGCTAGCTAGCTAGCTAGCTCAATGTCTACATTATCTGAGTTTGTTTTCATCTATCTATCTATCTATCTATCTATCTATCTATCTATCTATTTATCTATCTCAATTTGATTCTGTCAGCGTCAGTATCTTTTTATCTAAATATTATTTTTCTTCATCATCTCTTATTCCCCTATATATATATATATATATATATATATATATATATATATATATATATATATATATTGTTTATACGTTATTTTATTGATACAGTTTATTTAAATAAATCATCTCTTTTTAATTAAACAGTATTAATTACATTTACCGACTTGAATGACCGAGAAATGTTGTTATTGTTTACGTTAAGATAGGTTTCGTGAGAAGATAAGATCGAGAAAAAGATTGTGTGTTTATAAACAGTAATTTGGACTTGGCTACCAAGACTCTTCTCTGTAGCTAAATGGCATAGCACGTCAGATCGAATGAGGGTTTCCATATCGGATTACAGGTTGGATTACTGTTGGAGAACGCATGTTTTCTACGAAATTTCTCGAACATTCAAATGTAATTAATACTGTTTCATTAAACACAAAGCATTTACTTAAATAAATTGTTCCTATAAAAGCAACGTATAAAGAGAAACGATATTGAATTTAATCCATTTTATTATACATATATATATAATGTTTTGCATAAATTCCCTATATGACAAAACGATATATAATTATTTTTATATAACAAAAACGATTTTAAAGAAAAGAATCTGACAGAGGAAAATGTTATTATTTGATGCATTTCTTCATTTAGTCTAATGAAGTTTTAAATGACGAAATGCACCACACGAAAACTTTTCCATTTGTCTTGGTTTTTCCCCAATATATATATATATATATATATATATATATATATATATGAAGAAAAATATACTGAAAAAAAAATCCTAAGATGCGATTATGCTGTTTTAATGTTTAATGTCAACGTCGGACGTTTCGGTCTAATAGACCATATTCAGGACATATTCATAAAACATAATTAACATAGACCATATACAATTCAATATGAAAAAGACGAGGGACATAAAAACAATAACAATCCAAACAAAGCCCCTTCTGTCTGCCTCGGGGTTCTTGATAGGCTCCAGAGGCGGATATGCAATGTAGTTGGCCCTGCTCTGGCGTCTCGTCTACAGTCACTTTCTCACAGACGCACTGTCGCCTCCCTCTGTCTGTTCTACAAATACTTTCATGGAAATTGCTCCGAGGACCTGCATTCGCTGGTTCCCAGACGTCATGAGTTCCAGCGCCTTACGAGGCTGGCATCCCGCTCTCACCCCCTCACTGTCGAAACTCCTAAATGTAGCCGTCTCTTCTACTCTAATAGCTTCATGTCTCGCACCTCTCGCCTGTGGAACTCCCCTTCCTTCTCCTGTTTCCCTGCGAGCTATAATCTCCAGCTATTCAAGTGTAATGTCAATCGACAACTCCAGTTGCCTTGATCTATCCACTACCCTCATCCTTTCTTCTATCACTCCTATCTGATCTTGCTATTTCCTGTAACCCCTTGCATCCTAGTGGCTTCCCGCCTTGCTTGGGATGAAACGCTTAAAAAAAAAATAAAACAAAAAAAACGTATTAGGATGTTTGTTTGTTTTTTTTTTCAGTATATTTTTCTTCATACTGTCGGATCTATATCCATATATTTGCTTACACACACACACACACACACACACACACACACACATATATATATATATATATATATATATATATATATATATATATATACCGACATGAAAAAAATCTCGGACATTCAGGTCGGTAAATGTCGTTAATACTGTTTACAATAAACAGAGCATTTACTTAACCCTAGAACACTAACCATGGGTATATAGTACCCAGCGCAAATTTTCCTATTTTTAATTACAATTTTTAGTACCTGATTTTCTTAACTAAATAATATGTTTTTCAGTTCCTATTAATGTTAACTCAAAGTACAAAGTTTGAAGTGCCTGCATGTAAAATATTTCAAATAAAGATTTATGTGTAATTTTTTTTTTTTTTTTTTTTTTGATATTTTCAAAATTGGGTATGATATACCCATGGTTAGTAGTGGTGTAACTTTAATTGACCGTTAGTGTTCTAGGGTTAAATATTTCTATCTATTAAGATAATGTATAAACATAAAAAAATGTCTTAAAATAATTGTTGGACTTTGTCCATTTCATAATGTGTGACGTCATTGTTTACATTTGGATATGCATCGAGCAGATATGAATGTACGAGAGAAAATCATGGAAAATTGGGTTTAAAATCAGTAAAATCGACTTTGCTAACCTAAAAACTCCTCTGTGGCTCAATCGGTAAAAGCACGTCAGGCTATATGAAGGTTCTGTATAGGATACATGTTCGATTCCTGTCGGTGGACACATATTTTCGATGAAAATTTCTCGGACATTCAGGCTGGTAAATGTTGTTTATTACTGTTTATTATAAAACAGAGCATTTACTGAAATATTTGTATCTATAAAAAGAACGTATAAACATAAAAAATGTCTTAAAATAATATACAGTGTAACGCGGATATAAGAGACCCGGATATAAGAGAAACCCGGATATAAGAGAGATTTTCTCTGGTCCCAAATTAGAGCCTGTGTTAATGTATATAAAATAGACCAAACACGGATATAAGAGACTTCTTCTCCGGTTCCGACAACGCTCAATAGAAAGAGGAGGAAAATATTATTAATAATACACATATATATATATATACACACACACATATATATATAATATATATACATATATATATATAAATACACACACACATACATATATATATATATCTGATATTGAGCGCTTTCTAATAAGTACCGCGCATATAATATATATATTTATATTTATATACACACACTTTTCACACACACACACACACACACATATATATATATATATATATATATATATATATATATGACAAAATATAGCAAAATATTCATATTTGGTCCTTTAGTCAGATGAAGATGAAGTCCTAAATGACGATGTGCATCACACAAAAAACTTTTTCCATTTATATATATATATATATATATATATATATATATATAATATACATTGTGTGCCAAAAGTCGCGCTCCTAGAATCTCATTAATTAATCATATCTAAATTGATTATTTTGTTTTTCTATTTTCTTATTTTGTGTGCCCAAGAAATATTCAGGAACTTAAAGAAAGAATGAAACATGAATGCAGTAAAATGTCATAGGAAAATCTCCGATGTGTTAATGAATCAGGCAGACACAGCAATGAAATGTGTTTTGAAAAAGAAGTCGGACATTTTGAACAGCGCATAACAATTAAATAACTAGTAAATATAATATGCGTGTGTAAGTGTACTTCTCCCTCATATATATATATATATATATATATATATATATATATATATATATATATATATATATATATATATATAGGTAGGTAGGTAGGTATGTATGTATATATATATATATATATATATATAGATAGGTAAGTATATATATATATATATATATATATAGATATATATAGATATATATATATATATATATATATATATATATATATATATAGGTATATATACAAAATATATATGTGTGTTTACTTTTCTTCATCGGCATGTTCATTTTTTTGTTAAGCATTGAATCATAAGACATTAACTGCTAAAACGTACTGTCTCCAAATAGTTTCTTTATTGTTTGAGGAGAGAACACACACACACACGCATACATATATATATATATATATATATATACAGTAATATGATATACGCCTTGTTTATCTATGTATTATTTCCGCATAGATGCCCACCTTTTCGTTCTTAATGCACTAAAATAACACATCTTATTCAAGCATGCGTGCACACATATCTATGATAAGTAGCAAACTTACTCGTTATTTGCTATTTAAGCGCCCCTGTCTTTATGTGAGTCAAAATTCATTCCATAACCGAAAGTACATTAATTCAAAGCAATATGCAATCTTTTTTCCGCATTTGCAATGCAATTTTTTATCGTAAAACTCTAGGCAGTGCATCCCCGATTTACGAATAATAAATCTGTTTTGTCTGTAATGATAACATTGATTCTTGCCTTATTTACAACGCATTTCTGTCAATAAATCAGAAGCAATGCATCTAGGGTATGCATAAAATAACCCTGTCCTGTCATTAACACTTGTTCAAAAGCATTTATGTGCTTTTTTATTATTTTGTGTGGCTATTTGAAATCAGTTTCTTATCAGACGTGCCCAAGAAATTTTTTTTTATTCTCCACCCTGAAACATCTTCCCCATAGATACATTGTCGCAAGACTATCGCTTCTCTGTCGTTGTTTCCATGGCAAATGTTCAGATGAGCGCTCCATTCTTTAGTTCCACTGGTTCTATGGAGTCGATTCACCCTCATTTCCTCCATCTTCAGAATGCAAGAAAGTTCCACATATACAGTTTTTTTTCTTAATTAACTACCAACTTATGGAAAGGACTTCATCGTTGATGCTATCCTGAACATTACAATATAATTCATATGCCAATAGTTGATTAGTTGGTTTTGTTTAGCAGCATATCAAATTTCGAAGTGTTTAATGGCGAAATCTAAATATTTTGGAAGCATTTTTTTTTTTTTTACTTATTTATTTATTTGGAGATAATAATAGTTTTAGTGGTACAGGTATTACTAATTAATCCATAATTGGGGGAGAAGAGGTGACTACATAACTTTCCCAAAGATATCTGCGCGTAAATGAATACAGGGTGCGATGGATAAATTGTCGTCTGAGTCATGCAGAAATGAAAATAACATCTCACTTTGACAGATATATTTACCAAAATTACACAAAAATATCTTGAACTATTAAGGAGTAAATTGATTCAATGAAATCGCCATTTGGCTTCAACCACGGCCTGTAGACGATTTCGGGATCTCCTGCAACTCTTCTGGGCGGTCTCCGTGTTTAAGTTGGTGAATGCTGCCATAATCCTTGCCTTTAGTTCATCTTTGGTGTTACAAGGAATTTTGTTGGTCTCTCGCTCAGCTGCGAATCAGCCATAATAATCAAGACGGTTGCAGTCTGGAGAGTTAGGTGGCTAGATATAAGGG